AGGGTTGCGATCCATTGCCAGACAAAAAAAAAAAAAAAAAAAAAAAAAAAAAAAAAAAAAGAAAATGTAAAATATTTAGAAGGTTACTTGGCAGATAAAAATGTTCAACAAATGTTACCTACCACCATACAAACATGCCTTGGGTTACAGATACATACATAGGTGTTTAATATAGTAATATAACATAAAGCTATGGCTATGTCTGTAATATCCACACACAAAGGGCAATCACCCAAGAAGAGTTCCAGGGTGGTAATGAGGCATCACTACCAACCACTTAACAGGACAGCATAGAGTGTGTTTATTTGATTGCTTTGTGCTTAACCCAACCACAACTCATATGCACGTAGGTCCTCAATTCTACCGGATGATGGTGGTTTTTCTATAGGTGGTTATTTGGAAGCCTGCCTCTCAGTTTCTCCCTGAACCTTCAATTAAGTGAAATTTGGATGAGTTGAAGGCATAGGAGGGATTATAGAAGCAACCCTGGAAGCAAAATGGGATGTTCTCCACTGGCTTTTTTTGCAGTAAGTTATTCAAGATACAGCAAGGATTGAGTTGGGGATGGAGACTGACTTCTGCTAAATTCTGCAGCACCAGTGGTCCTGCTCTCAGGAGGGCAGAGGGGTGCTGCTGTCCTACCTGGTAAGCTTGGTGCCGATCTGCTGCCTCAGCTCCAGCCTCTCCTCATCTGTCTGCCTGGGAAGGATGTTCTTTTCTTCCAGCTCTCGCTTGGAGGGCCTGTTACTGAGTTTGATGGCTAAGGAGTCCTTCCTGCAGACCTTCATGGCCAGGGAGCCTGCAGGAGGGAGAAATGAGTCAATTAACGCTGACACATACCTGCCTGGGCTCCTAAAGGGTCAACCATGGGCCATAAGGTAAAAGATAGGAGGAATGCAATAAAGGGCTGGCTTAGCACCTGAGCATGGTTAAGGCCTCAGCTGGCAGAGTTCCTGCCATCAACATACCCTATACCCTTAGCACTGTGTGCGGCACGTGGGCAGCACACAGGGAGCCAGTGACTGGATCTCTGCTCTCCAGGAGCTCCCAGCATGTGGGCAGCATCACAAAGGAGCGCAGGACCCGCAGTGGAGTGTGACAGACAGTCTGCCAAGGGGAGACGGCAGAGAGCGTTCAGTAACCAGGGAAAGCTTCCTGGAGAATGAGGAGCTGGAAGCTGAATGGAGTTGAGATTTGAGCAGGCAGCAGGCTGGTGGGAATCTGCATTTGCAAAGGCTCACTGGTGATGGAGAAGCCAGGGAACCTCAGGAGACAGAAGAGCTCAGCTACACAGGAGCTGGGAGGAAGTGCAGGAAAATGTGACTGTGCGGACTAAGAGGGGCTAGTTTGGGGTGGGAGTGGAGGTGAGGTCTTTAACATAGGCAATACTCTGGGATTGCTTTTTCTTTTTAACATAAGGGATTCTGAGCAGCCAGGGCAGGGCTTCCTTATATCTGGTATAAACCCGTGGTTCTCTGCCAGGGGTGATTTTGCTTCCCAGGGGACACTTGGCAAAGTCTAGAGGCAGTTTTGGTTGTCAAAACTGGGATAGCAGGGGGAGGCGCTACTGGCATCTAGCGGGCAGACCAGGCGTGCTGCTAAACATCCTACAGTGCACAGGACAGCTCCCATCACAGAAAATTATGTCTCCACATGTCAAGAGTGCCCAGGTTGAGAAACTCTGATAGGAATCTCTGGGCACAAGACAGCCAGGCTGAGCAGCTGCTCCTTCCATTCAGGGATCATTTAGGTCTTTGGCTGCCCCCTGCAGTTCTCTCCTCTACATGACTGAACATTTCATGGCTCACCAGTACTCTTTCCAGGTCTCAAATTTAGCTAGCTACCTGAAGCCTGGTAAATACAGAGCAGGAAGAAGGTAGCAGCAAGCAGCAAGTTTGGGGATTTCTTTGGAATTTATTTAGTAGTGCTGTTCTTCTTTCCTCCTCCACTGGTTTTGGAACATGGGCTCTGGAATCTGACCGAGCTGACATCTGATCCCAGTGCTGCCTCCCAACAGATGTGAGGCCTGGGGTGGTTCCTCACTTCTCCAGTTTCTTCCCTTATCTGGAAAATGAGGGTAATCACATCGATGCCACAGGGTTGTTGTAGGATGTCAATAAGAGAACAAAATCTCAGCATGTTGTCAGGCACACAGGATACATCCAATAAATGCTTGCTATTATGATAAACTCACTTATTAAAAAGTTGACCCAATATTGGGCTATACTCACCTAACTAAAATTTATTACTCATGGCCAGAGTGATAGATTGCAAACTTGACTTTATTTCTTTTCTTGCCTCTTAGCATATTTTAAAAGTTTTTTAAATTTTTTATTTTAAAGGTTTTAAATAAGAAATTTAAATTCAAGCCTTCTGAAGTTGCTGAGGTATGCTTAAAAATGAATTTATTGCATAGAAATGATTAGTATCTTCTTAGTGTTTTCTAGAGAAGAACAGAATTTTGAGGTTTTTTTTTTTTTTAGGGAAGAGGGTTGCCTCCCAAGGGAAGTGAGTAAGAGCCATCTAAGGGGGTAGGAGTGGCAGCAGGTGTGGCAATGTTCAGAGCTATGAAGACATTCAGAGGACATTTATCCTCCCATCTTCCTGATGAAGAAACCGAGGCCCCAGGAGGTGAGCTGAGCTGAGCTGCCCCATGACCCAGGTCAGTAACACCAGACCCTGGATTACAGCCAGACTGTTGGGCACCCAGGGCAGCTGTCTGCCCACGTGTCGTGCTGCCCCTCCCCCAGGGCAGAGTGTGGGTGACATACTGGTGTACAAGGAGCTGTCATCATCTTCATCCTCCTCTTCCTCTTCTCTCGTGTATAGGCAAGAAGAGTCTTCGTAGTCTGACTCATGAGGCACGTTTTCTTTATTGTCATCACATTCAATCACAACAGTTGGCACTTGTCTTATTTCCGGAAGGCCCAGAGGTCCTGCTTTTGTGACACCGTCACCCGAGTGCAAACCAGAGCTGTGGTAAGAAGTGGAACAGGGGACCCGCTGCTCGGAGCTGTTGAAAGAGAAGGAGGAAAGAGGAAATTCATTTTGGCTAACCCATCATATATATGCATCAGACCCGTTTTAAAACTCAGTTGTCCTGTCCTAAGAGACAGAGGATCTACCAGACAATTAAAGTCCCATTTCTCATCTTACAGAGAATCATTTTAGGATAGCGGAGTTTCCTGATGGTGGTAATGACATAGAATAGGAAATAAGAATTCTAACTCCCTGCGGATGGATGGTGGTGGTGGTTGCACTATGATGTGAACATACTTAATGCCACTGAACTCTACACTCTACAATGGTTAACACAATAAATGTTATGTGTACTTACAATTAGAAAAATAAAAATTAAAAAAAGAATTATAATTCCACCAATTTTTCTAGTTAAGATCAATATATCCAAAGGCCAAAGGAAGGTTCATTTGTAACCCCATGTCTCAGAGAAGGGGGACAGGATTAATTTGACGGTGAAGCTCAAGATCCAGGATAGGAAGATAATGAATGTTCTAGCTTTCAAGAGGTATATAGGGTGCCTGGTAGGAAGTGAGGATGGGAGAGACTCAAAGAAAGAGAAGAGGCAGGATGGACAGAAGCCTGGAGACCGATGCAGAAACATCAGGGTGGACACTGTCAGGGATGACCTAGAGAAAGTTCTCTCCACAGCTAGTGTCACAGCCTCAGTGCAGAGCCACAGGCAAGGCCAGTCTGGTTGTTTCTGTGGGTCAGTTTTCTAAGAAACAGTAACGACAACTGTTCTTGGTTCTACCTCTTAAGTTGAGTCAACTTGGATCAAATATGTTTTTGAATTAAAAAGAAAAAAGCTATACGTGTTCATTGTTAGAAAATAAAAAATGCATATCATCAAAAATAAGCCTGTTACTTTTTTAACAGAGTCCATCTGAGGATCCTATAGCAATTCAGAATTCTTTTCATGACAGGCTCTGCTTGAAGTCCAGCAAGAGTAATGAGACTATGGAGCCAGAAACACAGAGTTAAATTCTGTAATTCTTTTTTAGGTTAACTGGAAGTGGAATTTATCTCTTTCATTTAAGGAATTTCTAAACACTGGAAACTCAATGCATTTTCCCATCCCGAAGTGTCTGATACTCATAAGAAAATGTAGAGTGAGGTTATACTATATATATCAGTAAGTTTTACATTTGAATATTTTATCCAAGGAAAATCTTACTTATGATATATGAATGCTTGTATCTCCTTGGAAGCTTTCAATTATGCTTTAAATTATTGCTATGTCTAATTTAAATTCAATTAACTTTCTTCCTTCCATTGTTCCCAAAGAGCTGTTTATCTCTTTGTATTTTTCCCATAACTCTTCCACGACACAAATGGAAAATCCAGTTAACACACGATGAGCTATGATGTTCAAGGCAATGAACTAAATCAACTAAAAAAACAAAAACATAAACCTTCAACTACTGAATAGGATTAAACCCTGTACTTACAAAAATTCAGCATCATACTAGACATCAGCAGTTTGAGTGTTACAGCTCCTGAAAGCTAGAACTTCATTCATTATCTTCCTACCCATTTCCCAGCTAATTTAATACAAATGACAACAGGAGCAGGAAGGTGGAATACTTGACAGATGTTCTCCAGGGTAACAAAGATAATATCTGACTGAAAGGTGGACTGACTGGGGACTTCCTGCCCCAGGCTGCTATCAGGGTGGCCCTGCTATCAGGCAACAATGGTCACTACGTTCCAACTGAGCTTGATTTCCATACTGGGTATTAAGGGAAGCAGGGAAGGAAGGGGCAACGTTGTATGTAATTCCCTGGCTTGCATTTTGCCTTAGTCCTGCCTTTTCCTCTCCCCTCTTTATAGTTTAATTAGCAATCATTCCTCTAAAGAACCAGACCTGGGATACGACAGCTGGGAGCTGGGTTGAAAAGCAGCCAATAGACATTCTTGTCTAGTGAGAACAATCTTTTGAGGGAAAAAAAAAGTCAGAAACCAGAAACCACAAGTTCCTTAAGGCTGAAGGCTCCAAATTGATTCAAGAGAACAGAGAAGGGAGAAATACTATGCAAAGGAAGGTAGGAAACTTAGCTTCACAGGTAGCTTGTGATAAATAAGAGACTGAGTGAGGTTTCTTCTCCCTCGATAATACATCGGAAATGACAGACCTTCTGAACAGAGTGGGATTACATGGAGGACCCCCAGCTACTTTAGCAGGCAGGGACCAGGTATCACGCTACCACCTGTAAGACAGGGGCCAGCCGTGGTGGTCAGCGACTGCCTGGTGGGGGCGCTCTAGAGACAGCTGGAGCCCTCTGCGTGCCAGTCACCTTCCTGAAGTGTCACTAGGTGTTTTCCAGGAAACTAGTGAACCCACCAAAAGGGTTTTTAAATATTCTATTAATAAACATCCGTTGAATGCCATTTACGTGTGAGGAAAGGTGCTGAGAGGAAAACAAACCCCAGATGAACCCATCTGTTCTGTAACTTTGGGGAACCACAGGAGAGCAGGCAGAAGGGGGGTAGAGGAGTCAGCTGAGGAGGAGGCTGGAAAGGTGATCAGGGGACCTCAGTCTGAGGAGCCAAGACACAGACCTGAGTCCACGTCTTGGCATTTACTCTGTTCTTGACACTGGGCAAATTATTTACCCTCTCGGGGCCTCAGCTTCCTCAATGCAAAACTGGATAATCATGCCTTTTTTGTATGACTGGTGTGTGTGTGAAGTGTCCCATTGGCACAGCCGTAAGTGAGACCCTTATTTATTTATACAAATGGCCTCCTAGTGGTTTCACAGCACGCTCACTGCCAGTCCCTTCTCCACACTGTCGTCAGAGCAACTTTCTAAAACTCGGATCTAGTAGCCTCACCCATTAGAACTCTGAATGCCTGTCTAGTCTACAGACTGATGCTCTAAGGAGTGACAAAAATAAAAAATCTAGTTAAGGAATTAGGAGCTGTACTATTAAAAAAAACCAAATCCACTTAAAAACAGCATCTAATTACATGGGGCCTCCACCCCCCGCGGTGTTGGGCAGAAAGGGGAACCCCTAGCAGAACATCCATCTCAGTAACAATAATAATAACAATAATAGATAATAGTAATAGAGTTCTCAAGTAGAAGATTCACTGTAAATAAAAGGTCTCACTGCTAAGGAAAAATGAAAACCATTAGCTTACAAGCAGTAGTTTACACAGCGTGACATGCCACACTCTACACAATTTGGCCCAAATTAAGCCAGCCTCATCCCACTTCTCACTGCTGTCTCCATATCTTATCCCTCGTCACCTGCGCTATGTGTTTAGTGCTCCTGGCCTGCAATGTGCTCCTGTCCCATCTTTTACTTTGCTGATTCCTATTTACCTTTTAATACCTGTCTCAGGCAACACCTTGCCTGTGTTCACAGGAGAGCCCTCAACTGTGAAAACGGCGAGCATCTGTTTGCTTACTATCCTCCTCTACCCGCTCAAGGCTGGAGGCTCCTTGGGAGCAGGGACCATGACTTATTTGTGTTTGTATTGAGTGCCTAGCCCTGTGCCTGACACCAAGGGGACACTCAGTAATTACTTTTTTTTTTTTGCTGAATGAAAGAAAAGTGGGCTGGAATGACTGATGTGCATGCACATTTGCAAGTAGTTGACAAAGCGTATTCAAAGGGTTTTAATGAATGGATTGTTTTTTCATTTTCAGGGAGGCATCTATGGTGCACTGTAGAAATGTGGGTGCCCCAGATCTGGCTGGCACCTATATAATAGCTTAGGTAATGACAGAAAGGCCATCCTCATCAAACATGTGGAAGATCCAAGGAAGAGAAGAAAAGGAGGGAAAGTGAAAAGAGGGAAAATTAACTGAATGTGTCACCAACTGTTCTAGAAACTTCCACATACAGTACCCATTTCATCTTTGCAACAACCTTGCAGGAGAAGTGCTTTTATCCCCACTTTATGAAGCAGGAAACTAAGGCTCTTAGGGTAATTAACAGGCCCACAAGGACACAGGTGGTAAAGGTAGGAGCTGGGATTTGAACCCATTTTTGATATTCTGTACCCAAAAACTGAACCATGACACTTACAAGATCATGTCTTTTGATTAAATACAAACCCCAACTGTACCCATTGCAAGATGGAGAAAACATCATGCCCTGTCAATGACATGTATAAAAATGGTCATCATTACTCTATTTATTTATTATTTTAAAGATGACCGGTAAGGGGATCTTAACCCTTGACTTGGTGTTGTCAGCACCACGCTCACCCAGTGAGCAAACCGGCCATCCCTATATGGGATCCGAACCCGCGGCCTTGGTGTTATCAGCACCGCACTCTCCCGAGTGAGCCACGGGCCGGCCCATCATTACTTTATAACTACTTTAAATCTTACCTTCTGGGGTAAGTGATAGTGTTCCACCTGGCCATGATCAGGCCACCCCTGGGGTACTGAGTTTAAAGGATTCATAGGATTCATCTCAGACACTGTGTTCAGAATAGTCAGTGAAGGGACTCATCTGTTAACCTATCATCATGGCTGCTTTTGCACCAAAACAGCAGAGTGGAGTAGTTACAACAGAGCATAAAATATTTACTATCTGGTTCTTTTCAGAAAAAGTTTTCTGACCCTTGATTTAAACCAGTGCTTCCTAAAACTCGATCACACTCACGCCTCCTTAATTTTTTGTGTATGCCATCTTCGAAGTCCAATTACAAACAATGTAATTTTTAAGTCAATACCTTTTTAAAAAACTTAAACACTATACTAGCCTCTTCTTAAGCAAACAATATCTTTGTAATCATAGGTTTTATATGCTAATTATATATTTATAATGTGTTAAAATAAGTATATATTTTTATGCTTATATTTTAAATATTTATATTATAGATAAATATGTATATTTAATAAAATATTAAAACTTAAAAGTTGACCTAAACTCATTTTATGTACCACCAATGATGTAGATATTACACTTATAGACAAAGCTTATTTATTTTTAAAAGTTTATTTAGGGCCGGCCCGGTGGCGCACTGGATAGTGC